ATTAAATTTGATCGTCAATTTGTAGTATTGTTTGTTCATTTAATATTGTCTATTTTATATTTTTATATATATTATTAGATAACACGTGTTATTTAATACAAATTTGTAAAAATGTTATTAAATTTTACGTTAAGGTCAATTTATTATATTTAATTTGGAAAAATATATATATATATATATATATATAGCTCTTGTGCAATTTTTATATCTGCAGAAATTTTTAATCAAATATTTCATTTGTTTATGAATTTTTTTTTTTTAAATAAATGATTATAAACGCGATATTAAGAAGCAATATTTTTAATATTCATACACGTTTAAATAATTTGTTGAAATTATATTCGATTTTCGGTTATTTTATGCTGTTCAACAAACGCCAGTCGCGAATGTGTTTTCATAAATTTAAACTAATTTATAACGAATGTGTGATCCTAAAATATATTTTGTTTCCTTCGTTAAACTATTTAATACGTTATTGTAATTACATTCAGGTAGACATAAAATACAGACACTCGTTTATATTACTTTAACGTTTTATATATATTCTTTAATTATTAATATTATTATTATTATTATTATTATTATTATTATTATTGTTATTGTTATTATTATTATTATTATTTATTCTCGGCAGCAGTCTCTAAAATATTATTTACTTTAATTTATATTTTATAATTATTTATTTCTAAAACCGACCTCTCCTGTTTTATTACTTTCAAGCCAAAAAAATAAATCGGAGGGTATTTTATTGTTTCCTCTTTTGTTTGTTTTTTCTTTTACAAAAGGAACTGTCCAGTATTTATGTTCATATTTCATATAAATATTTCAATTCTCAGCACATTTTTATCTTAGAGAATTAAATACGTGAATATTCATTTTGTTTTATTCCTTATTTTTATTTTTTATTTTTTTGCGACATTATCATAACCTACAACGATTTATAATATAGTACAGATCAGTGGTTCTCAAAGTGTACACTTTGGCGCTCTAGATAGCCGCCATTTTTCTTACAAGTGTATTGCGAAATATTACACAATTTTCATCATTTCAATTCCATTTGCGATTTCTTATTTGTGTGAGATTGGATTTTGATAAAATTAAAGCATCGCATGAAAATCAATATAAAGAAGAAAATCAATATGAAGAAAAAACTGTGTTCAGTAATAAATTTAATTCCACGATTTAAAAAAATGTATACCAATCAATATGATCAATTCATGTCTCTAATTTATATAATTAATTAAATTTATTTATTTTTTTGTGATTTAAAATGTATTTCATTTATGTTAACCTTAACCTAGCATATAATTATTGATTATTTCATAAAGAGTACTCATTAAAACAGCCATATTTAATTTGCGACCTAGAAACCTCTCCAGTATAATCTGACACACCTATTCATGAATTTACAATTTTTTTTAGTCACTAAAATTAACTATTTATCCCTTCCTAAACAGCCACTTATCCCTCATCTTACAACCCCTTGCCCTCAGAACCGAAAGTTTTAAATACAACAATAGTTTTCCTATCCGATGACCTTCTTTTCACTATTTTTTAGGTTATCAGCATCAATGTGGGAATCATTTGATACTGAAAATGGATCTTTGAAGTCCTCAAAGTCAAAAAATTGAGTACATTTGCATTAAAATATCATACAAAGTACTTTGGAAAAATTTAGATTCAGCATGGTCGCTAAGAATCGAAAAATTTTAAGAACCACTGCCATTAAGATGGTTACGATTTGTCGCATCCTTTCATTATTATTAATAGAAAAATACGTCTGGTTTTTGTTTATCGGACAAGAAGGCATTTATAAATGGCGTAAATATTATATTTGAGCTTCGTTGCATAAAATAAAATAATTTATCTTTTATGACATTTTGCAAAATACGCATTTTTGTGCCTTCTTTCCTTTATTTCTTCATTTCTTTCATATAAGATAAACGACTAATAACGAACTACAAACAGGTACGTGCGTTCTCTTATATTTTCTTTTTCTTTTTTTTTCTTTTTTCTTTTTTCTTTTTTCTTTTTTCACCACAAATAACTCTCGCTAATTAAAATATGGCGAGATTAAGTTTTTCTTTAGCTAAGGCCTCGGTCTAATAACAGCCGTTTAGAAGCAACCTGTCAAAAACATCTAATCTAAAGCATTATCGGAAATATCTTTCATTGTAAGTGTCTTTTTTGTTGTTGTTGTTGATCATTCGATCGTTTGGTTGATCCTTATTTCATATTTTTTTTTTTAATAATTATTTATCAAACTAAATATTTTTATATTTCATTTAATTTTTTCTTCTTGTTTTCCTTGACACATAATTAAAAGTGCCTTTCATCAAAATCGTGATTATAACGAGACAATGAATGAAACAAGTTCATTTTATTTGATCAGTAAATAGATATTTTTCTTTTGTACGTATGGTGTTCAATGTGAACCGTAATTTGCATAAGAAATAACATATAAGTATTTAAGGTATATATATATATATATGTATATATATTATAATAACATTGGAAAAGCTTTCAAAATAAATATGTGTAAGAAATGGATGGATAGTTTATCACGATATTTTAATATGCTTTCAATTACTAATTGTTTTTCAAAATTCGTTCAATGTTTGGTTCAAATAACGCATAACAGGTTTTGCAATATAAATTTGTACCCCTTTTGCATATCATATTCAACATTTTCCATTCCAAATTAACATCTTTCGACAGATTATATTGTGAGCATATTATTTTTAATATTTAAAAAATAATATTTCAAAAAATAGCTTATTTAAAATTTTAAACGTAACAATCAATAATTAATTGTTATGAATTTATATGTATTTCGTTGTTTCTTCAAATTACGTGTTATTTATCTGTAAGAATTTTAATCCTGAGTCTTTTACAGAGATTATAATTTAAAAAAAAAATTAAGTCCTTTAATTTTAATTTATTACACAGACAAAAAGAAAAGAGAAATAATAAATAAATAATTAAATATAATATAATTATTATTAGTAAAGAAAATACTGCAATGAATCGAAGATATTCCATGTATAGTAAATAATTAATAATTATAATAATTATAATATATGTAATAATTATAATTATTAATTATTTATTATGGAATAAAGATATTTTGAATTTTGAATTCCCTAATAATAGATTTACATATAATTGTGTTATAATAAAAAAGAAAACATAAAAATACAACAAAAATTCATTTACAAGAGGATAAATTTGATTTTGCGCAAAGATTATGGTTTGGTTGGCAAACGTGCGAATTTGATTAGCAAAAAAGTTTGAATTAAAAGTGTAAAACCTGTATTAACAACGATAATCGTTTGATAATAGTAATGATGTTTTTTCTTTTTTTTTTTTTATACAAATCATATTCTGTAGTATTGTATGTAATACCTACAGCAGATTATTATAATACTTATACTCATAGAGTTGCGCGGCTCTTTGACGTTTCAGCGAAGGCGGGGACCGTCCGGCTTGCGTCCTGGGATGGCATGCACAGAACACAGCACCAAACGCCACACGGTTACACAGAGAAAGACAAAATCCACAAATAGAAGAAAAGATAGAGAAACTTTTGCTAGGATCACATGGGAAAAATGATGGTTTTGTTAAAGGGTTTTAAAATGGATTATAAGAAAAGTTTAGATTGAGAGAAAGAGAAAAAGATCAAAAAAGAAGGAGAAAGAGAGAAAAATAGAAAGAGAGAGAAAGAGAGAGAGAGAGAGACAAATGACAAGTGTTTAACATAGACAAAAATTAGGATTAAAAATAAGAAGTATGATAGAATGATTCGATCAACTAAATAAAGTGTTCATCGTTTCGTTAAAACTTTATAATTTAATTTCATTTTAATATTGATGATATTATCCTAATTTGTATCGTTAATTTATTGCAAATTTTTTTATGTTTAATAAAGAAATTATTTTTAATTTCCAAATTGTATAATATACAATTAAATTGGTTATCTTAAATGTCGGGCAATTATGTTTGATTCTTTTGATTATTGGATGATAATATTAAAAATGATTATAATGTTAATAATTTTTTATTAATTTGAGCGATAACACAGTTTAGAATTGATTCTAGTTTTTGAAAGAAAAAATTGTCTTATCTCATAATGTTAATTCGTGATCTTTCTTTTTTTACAGAAGCGAATTTGTCAAAATGGTTTTGATATAATTTTATAAATTAATGAGAGTAATTTTAATGTAATATACTAATAGACAAAAGAATATTTGAATGAATTTATGTTAAAAAAGTGTTTTAACTTTGATTTATGTAAGTTTTAGAAAAATGATCGTATCTGTACGAAACATTTTTTTTTCGATAAGTAAAATTCATTTTTTTCTTATTGTTCATATCGTTTAAATTATTTGTGCATTATTTGATTCTATGGAATTTTTTATTTAATTTTTTCTTGATTTAATAACATTTTTCCGAGAAAATTCTTATTATTTATCCGAGGATGATGAAACATTAAAGATATTTGCTATATCGACAATAAATTTGTATGTGCTATTAGATCTGATGATCTTAAATAAATTATGCTATAAAATAAATGAAATCCTATAAAAATCGCAATAATATTGTCAATTGTTTCAAACAAAAAATTTCAACAGAAATTTAAAAATTTAAAGAATTGAATCTGTTAAAAAAAGAATCGATATAACAAAATAATTAAAACTGACTAAAATATAAAAATGGAATAATAGTGTATTTCAATGCAGATATAAAATACATTTGATCGTAATGTATTAGACATAAAAATAATAAAAAATAAAAAATATAACAAAACGATTAATTTCAATGTACGAAATAATGTTTGACAATATTTATGTACGATAACCTTTGACTTGTATGAACGACGCAAACAAAAGTAAATGCCATGATTCCTTTTCAAAACCAGATGAATATATTCTCAACAAGTGTAATAATATGTGTGAGAAAGATAGAAAAAAAAGGATAAAATTAATTTGAAAAAAACTCACTTTAGATGCACCGCCTCCTCCAACACCTCCTCCACCACCCCCACCACCACCACCACCTCCACCTCCACCTCCACCACCGGAAATGTTAGGAGTACGTGCTGGTGTAACATAGAGGCTCTCGGTTCGTTTAGGTTGGCCAGGACTCGGTAGGATGTCTTGACCAAGGTTGCGGTTCTTTAGAAGTGCTCCTTCAAATTGACCGGAAGTTGATGCCGCATAAGTCGGTGTCGCCGTTCCGCTTCCTATTACCGAGCCATTCAATGGTGTGCCGGATCGCATAACACTGGGTGCCCTCGTTGATCTTAAATTACAACATTTTATTCATTTTATAATATTATCGTTTAATTATTATTGTCAATAAAATGTTGTTTTCACACACACACACACACACGCACACAATGGAATTGTAAATTTTTACTTAATCCATTCGAAACCAAATGACTTTTTTTGAACACAGTTCCTTAGAGTCATTTTTCTTTTTTTATATTGTTAATTTTTAATAAAAAAAAATAGTGTTCACTATGAAAATTACACAATTCGTAAGTGAATTTGCATAAATAAGTTGATTGCATACCGTGTGAGCAATTCGCTTATCAAAAAAATTTTATTACGAGGAGCTAATTGAACACAATGTGTGCAGTTTAATGTAAAATAAAAATACATCATTTAAAATTGATAAACATTTATTTCTGACATAGTTAGATAGTATAATATCGTTATTGTGCTTTCAATAAAGAAAAACAGAATATAATCTAAAGAATATTTTTAAATACTAGCAAGAAGTAAAAAAAATAAGTTGAATAATAAAAAAAAAATAATATAAATAAAAAATCAAATATTAGAAAAATGTCTAAAGGTAATAAAGTAATGTAACTCAGTAATAAAATAAAAAATATAATTTATAAATAGATTTTTAAGAAATAGTACACTGATTATAAAGTAAATTTGCATTGATATTTTGTAAAAATTTAGATTCCGATAATCTAAACAAAATTTATTGTTTTTTTTTTGGTATGCATGAAAACCAGTACCAAATTTTGTCTTTCTATATTTTAAAGATACTATTCATATAAAAAATTTACTTTGAAAATATTAATTTAAAAAGCACCAACTTTTGGTTAACCCTAATATTAAATGTTAAGTTAATCATTAAATTTAATAAAAGAATTAAATAAGTGTTAAATTAAACAATAATACCTAATTATAACTATTAAATTATTATTGATTAATAATATTAATTGTTTACCTGTCGATTAAATCCGTGGATGGATTTGTTATGGTTTTATCAACAGACGGCTGTCTTGATCCAGTTAATCGGGAATGAGCTCTGGCATAACGATCTACGGAACTGTCACGACTTGGTGGCCTTTTGTAATGATCCAATCTATAATAAATAATAATATTTTATGTTAAAATTATAAATATAAAAAAAACACTTATATCATATATAACAATAATTACGACAATAAACTAAATAAAAATTGGAAAAAAGAATTCATTTCATTATTTATTTTACAATACAATGATTTTAAAAAATAAAATACAAATAAAATATTTATAGAATAAAATCGTGAGATTGTTAGTTAATTAAATGATTGGTAATATATATTAAAATTATTTATATTAAAAAATAAATAAAGAAACAAATTGTTTCAATTCTATTTGAATTAATAAATTGTTTATAATTAATATCATATTTTTAACGATGAATTTTGTTTATCTTATATGACTTAATATGACAATGATAGTATTACTTCCAAGAAAATCATTCTCCCTTGATTGCACGGGAAATTATTTGAACACATTTATTTTTGTTCCTTGACTCATGTAAGTTGAACGTAACGAATAGTGACTTTCTCGAAACCATGAGAGGATACATTTAAGAAGGAACAATTTGACAATTATAACATCGTACGTGGGCATATGTATGTCGATCATTTCTCTGAATTTCATAGACTCAAAATATTTCTTCGAATTCAAACTGAAGAAACTTAGCAACGTTCTAAACACTGTTTCCTTTATAACCACTTTGAATATTTCTAATAATTTCTTTTTTGTCTTTATTAAACTTTGTTCTATTGACTGCCATTAAAATGGCTTTGGATGTATGTCATCTTTTGAAACAGTAAACCATTATAAGAATTCATTTAGTTCTTATATATTATACAATTGTATTATTAACAATTTGTTTTTGTATTTTCACTAGACATATGGATGTCTTATTAATCAGAATTATTTTTCGATTGCATTAACTAAAAAGTTATTAATTATCTAAAAATTATAATTAATACTTTTAATATGCAACTATAATTTTACATGCCTTGCTCGTAGCTCTAATATTAATTTGTTAATATGCGGTTAACATTATGTTGCAAATATTGTTTAAAATATAAAAATAAAATGAATGTGTATAATGATATTAAGCGCAATTATCTAACTGTGGAGGGGGAGGGTCATTTGTAACCCCCGTGGCGCTACGAACAAACTTAATATCAGTCATTGATGACACTCGTGTCATATTTTTTTACTGCATTGTTATTTGACATTTAGAAACAACCATCAAACACAAATCACAGTACTACATCTTATGAAACTTAAAAAGTTAAAAAAAATGGACAACCATAAATAAAAATTCTATAACAATTTAAATAAAAATGTAACACCTGTCGTTCAAAGTTTGTCCAATATTTCCTGGTCTGTCCTGCGGACTTAAAATTCTGCTATTCCTTCGTATACTCGTTGAACTTGGTGGCCTTTGAATATCAGCAATCCCATCAGTATATTGTTGCATAGATTGTTGCGTTTGTTGTGATTGTTGCTGCTGTTGTTGTTGCTGCTGTTGCTGTTGTTGTTGTTGTTGTTGTTGCTGTTGTTGAGATAACATTGACTGTGAATTGTATTGATTCATCGGATTGGGTCCGTACTGATTCGGCACCGTCGTCTGAAAAACAGAAATCAAATCATTTTATACTGCATCAATTCGAAGATAATTTGAAAATCAGTCAATTCAATAGTAAAAAAAGGAACTTTGGGATTCTATCAGAGATCTGTTTACATCGAGTGTAAAGGTTTTAGAAGTACACTTTTGGACATATTTTCAATGACTTCCATCATAGTTTTGTATTTGGTGGAAGAATATCAGAGGGGTGTTGTGTTTTTTTTATGGAAAGACATCTAGCATGATCAGTCATAATGTTGTATCGTTAATACATGTTAATAAAACGTTAAATATTAATTTCAAAAAAAAAAGGTAGGGAATTTAAAAGGGGAAATTTCATTTGTCCATTATAAACCAATTAGAGTCGGACATTTTGTTGTGCAGTGAGGAGCTACGATTACCTAATTAAAAATAGATCAGTGCAAAAGTTTTCAATAACATTATTTCAAAATGCACAGGACGATGAGAGTGGCATCACAAAAATACACGAAACTGACGAGGATTTTTTTTACGAGGTCGGAAAACTGACGCGCAGTAATAAAAATAATATTTTCTGATAGGTTTGAGTAATTATTTTTATCTTTTTATCTTGTCTGTTTTCTTTGTTGTTATTGTTGTTTTCTTTTTTTTATACAAAATTATGAATGCATCTCGAAAGCGACAAATAGAGATGCACAAGTCGATGGACGTGATAACCTAAAAAAAGGTTCAATCGGGGACTCGTCAAGTCGCTTACACCATAAGGCTGAGCTTCGTATTGATTGATTTGGGCGTATGTCATTGGACCGTACATAACCGGGGCTTGCGGATACATGATCTAGAAAGAAACAGAGAAACATAGAGCTTTGACGTTGATGTTTCAAAATCAAAGAATAAACTTTCAAGGATAATCGTCTTTAAATCGTAACATACACACATATTTCCGGAATGAATACGTAACCTAAAATGGTTCCTAACCTTAAAGTTAAATGTATATGTTAAATAATAGCAACAAATATACGTTGATTACAATTACCTGTTGATTTAAATAAGGTTGCATGTTTTGGAATCCTTGTGATTTAGCCGGCGTCTGTTGCTGCTGATATCCAGTATACCCAGGATCCAGCTGGGCTGGGTTAGCAGAAGGAGGATATTGAGCCGGGTTATATGCGTTAGGCTGATTGGTATATTGATTTGGTTGATAAGGACTTTGGGGATACTGATTTGGTATGCTATTAGGATATGGTTGATTCTGTTGAGGCGAGTTTTGTGTCATTGTTGGAACGTATTGCGTCTGATAAGGATTTTGCATTGGAAGAGTAGTATTTTGAGCATTGACCATTTGTGGAATCTGATTGGAAATTTGATTAGGTGTGATCTGATTGGGTATTTGATTCTGCATCATATTTTGCGGCTTCATGCTAGCCCTTCTTATCGACTGCATCACGTTGCTCGCTGTCATCGAGGTAGATGGCATCGTCGTTGTTGTTGCTGTCGTAGTCGTCGTGGTCGTTGTTGTCGTCGTCGTTGCGGTCAAATCGACGTTAGAAATGGCTGACTTCGTAGGGGTCGATCCAATCGTTTGATCAAACGTCGTGCTCTTATGAAGAATACTTTTACCAGGTACAGTGTCCTGAGGTGGCGGTACGTATTTAGGAATTTCCCGATTTTTCAGTCTCTCCAAACCGGGTTGTCTGAAATCTGGAGCAAACTGTTTAGCTGTTTGTTGAGCTAATTCGGAATCGTCTCTAGCATGATCGGCAGCGTGGTCAGCTGACTCGGCTTTCCCTCGTGCCGTTGCTGTCCTTGAAATTGCTATATCCGCTTTTTGTAATGCTATTTTACTCGCCCTTTGAGCTGCACTAACAGCAGCTTCTATCCTTTCGCGAAATTTGGCCGATCTTATCAGAAATAAATGTTTCTTCTTTTGACTAGTAATCAACACGTTGTTCTTGTACTTTCCTTCTTCTTTGGTACCGTCCCTAAATGTTGTCACTCCATAACCGTACTTTCGATTGTTGAACCATTCCCCCTCATAACGCAAACCATCGCTTCTTTCCGATATACCGAAACCAGTTCTCTTGTCGTTTTTCCATTCGCCAAGATAAGTCTCGGTTACAGATGCGTCCATCTGTTCATCCTGTAGAATTAAATTTTCTTATTAGACCACGTTTCATCATCGTTTTCAAATCGTTTGATGTTTCGAATTTAACTTAATGTTTTTAAAATAATTTCATTAGTTTATTTATCGCGAAATCAGCTAGCAAACATCTTGCAATCCGTGTTTAAATGTTAAGCCAATTGTACAGTACTATATTATTTGATAATAAATTATATAGCTTATTTACTTATGTACCTACGTATAGTTTATTTATATATATTTATATGTTCGACAAAATACGATCAAAGTAAGAAGATGATTCACCTCGATGACAAAAGACGCATTACTGTCGGTATGGACGGACGCTGAAGCTTGGCTCTGTGAACTTTCTGTTGACATCCATGATGCTGAACTAGCATTACTTCGAATACTTCCTCCTGTTCCACGTTTTTCCAAATCACCCGTGCTCTTTTGTTTTCGAATCTTTAAACCCTGAACATAAAAATGATTTTGTCAGAAATCTTTTCAATTTTTAAATGAGTTGCTGACATGAAAAAGAGACAAGTAATATTTTTATTCAACGGTATAATCAAATAAAATAAATATCATTAGCGAGTTGTCGAATAACACTCACAATCAGCCTATAATATTCTTACTAAAAGAACAATTTTTGCAATAAATTTCAACTCTGGTTTTTGTTTGTTTTTTTCAAATTGGATATTTATGATAGACTCTTGTTGATTTCCTTTTTAATTACAAAACGTATAAATCAAATAGGTTTTTAAATTAGATATTTCAGAAGTAAATTTGAATTTTTACAAAAAAAAAAAACAAAAAAAAATACAATTAAAAGTTGTTATTTCAATGTGTTCCTTTCGAAGTATAATTATGAAATTTTTATAAAATATTTGTTTTCTAAATATCTTCATTTTCCATTTTTGTTAATTTTATCGACTTAATGCAACATTATGAAAAATTTTTTTATTTAAACTATAAAATATATGTAAAAAACAAATAATAATACTGGAAAAATAACCTATATTTATGCTTTTTACAATACTACACTAAATCAATAAAATTAAAAAACTGAGAGTAAATAAAAAAATTAATAAACTTATGAAGCCAGTATTTTGCAAAAATTTTATAATTATATCTCGAAAGGAACTCATTGGAAAATGACCATTTTTAATTTTCTTTCCTGTATGAAAATTCAAGCGTAGCTTCGAAATAATTGAAAATGTCTTTGATTCATGTATTTTGTCCATAATTAATTGTAAAAAAAGTCAATAAGAGTCGATCACAAATATCCAAATTGAAAACAAATTAAAAACTAGAAATCAAATGTTTTTCCTGACTTCTCAAATAATTGGATTAGAGAGTTAAAATTTTTAACAAAATTTATTCTTTTAGTATAAATATTATAAGATGAATATTATTCTTTTTATTAAAATGATGAATTAATGATGAATTAATTCTTTTTTCTTTTAGTATAAATATTATAAGATGAATATTATTCAACAACTCACTGAAAATATGTTCAGTAATTTTACTTGACTTGCCATTCTATATCAAATTAAATTAGACATTGTTAAAATTTTTGATTATGAACTTATCTGACATAAAATTAAAAAAAAAAAAATGTTACTTGAAAAAAGAATTTTGAATAGAATGCAATAGAAATTTACCGAAAGAATTCCTTTTTTCAATGATTTTTCTGTTAAACTCTTTCTTCGTGCTGGAGGATCATCGCTCCTGGCTTTCAATACAAATCCTCCTCTACTATCGTCCACTCGACGATCTCTCTTATCGGTTGGATCAGGTGTTGGTGCAGTCACTGGACCACCATCCGCACTTCTTAAGGACGTTAAAGATGCTCTTACTTGTTTTGGTGGTTTGTAGTGACTCGCCAAACCAAATGGTGCACTTGCTCTTACTCCATATCCGTGTCTCATACCTCGAAGCCATTGTCCTTGATAGGTACCTATTGGTAAAATAGAAATCATTATAAATTTGTCTCATATATATATTTTATAGAATTAATTATAGAAATATTTTTAATAATCTTAGAATTAGAATTATTTGTTACATTAAGAATTATTTGTTCCCTGTTGTTTTTTTTACATGGAAAAAATATTAAAGAAATTTTAATGATTAGTACATTAAATTATCTCTAAAAAAATATATATTATAATTCTTATTTCAATATATTTTATTTTTATATATCAATATATATACACTAAGATGTTCCGGCCATCCATCCGTTGCTGTGGTTTTGTTATAAAATGTTGATCTAATATAATTCTAAATTATTTAGTAAACTATAAAAATAAACAAAATAATACCACAATTAGAATGGAATACATAAAATAATAATACTCGAAAAAATATAAAACGCAAGATTAGTTATGTCATATGTAAATCAGAAAAAAACGTATGACGTGAATATATCGAAATAATTGAATTATAATACAGCGCCATCTATTAGAAACTTACAGTACCTAGAGATTTAGATAACCTCTAAATAGGAAATCCTTAAATTAGCAATAAAAAATAAAAATAATCGCGATAATAACTATCCTATATCTTTTGTTGAAAAAAATCACACAAAATACAAAAATTTCATTATGATCGGTTTAATAGTTTCGAAGTTCATTGGAAATCAACAATGTAACACTGAAATTTATATATAAATTTATTTATTATTTATTATATATATTATATTTCACACACACACAAATATATTTTATTAAAATAATAATAATTATGGTGAAAAATTGTAATAAAATAATATTACGTCCTAAACAATTTCCTTTTTTTTTTTATTTGCTAAGTTCAATATTGTTCTCATCGAAGACTTATATCAAATAACCCAATATTATTTTATTGCTAAATTAAAGAAAACAGATTACCAACATTTCCCACTCATGTGCGGTATTGTTCACGAATAAAAGATACGAATAATCTTAGATAAATATTCTGGAGATTACGTATATTTATTATCATATTTAGGAAATATAAGAAAATTCAATAAAGGATCAGTTTTCTTATCTATAGGAGTAGACTCATAGAAATTCATGAGTCCGAAATCGTTTGAATTTTACCTCTAGTAGATATACTCTTTGTCAATTCTTTAAATCAGTGGTTCCCAAAGTAAGCGACATCGCCTCCTGGTGGGCGATGAAGCGGTCCAGGGGGGCGATGACAAGATCATCACAGGTAAAAACTGGAATTTTAGGTGTACAGATGTGCAATTAAAAAAAGATCATGAGTGCAATGAGTACAAAATTTTTCTCATTTCTCAGTTTCACCACAGTTTCAGTTATTAAAAAAAACAGGTCACAAATTAAGAAATTAAGAAATTAAATTTTCAAGAGAGCGATTAGCAATATTTTTTCAGGAATGGGGGCGATAAGAGAAAAAAGTTTGAGAACCACTGCTTTAAATTAATGAACCTTGTAAGGGGCAACGTAACTATCCAATAAGGATCTAATTGTAAGTTTTATATTCTATTAACTGATTTGATGTAACGAAGTAATTGGTCTAAGAAATGAAAGTAGGAATAGGTCTCTAAAAAAAATCAGGAAGATAGGTAGATCATTATTGTTATTCATAATTTTTTGTTTTAGCTAGTAAGTCTGTATTTGTTAATAATTCTACATTAGTTAATAAGTTTGTATTAGTTAACACGTTTTGTGTCGTGTGAGGTGTATACGACCTCCAATTTCCGTTCAGGCCACTTGAAATTATCATTGAAAAACAAAAAACTATTATAAAGTCAAATATAAGCGACTTCACACTATTATTGGTTTGTTGCCTAATGCATATTAAAATTTATATCTTTTCCTGCTAATTATAGCTTTGTAATATCGAAAAAATGTAAGGCATGTGTCCTAAACAACTTTTTTAATCTTTAAAGTGTGAGTCATATATGTCCCACGCAGGCTGAATAGAAAATCTTCAATAAGATATTAACAATAAGACTGCATTCAGTTTATGTAATTAAAAACTAGAATTATTCTATTTGTGTTGATCGAAACACAACCAGAAGCCTATCCCACCAATAGCAGAAAAAGATAAATATCTTATTTTAATTCTTAATTATCTATCTTCACTGTAATAGAATTATAATATTCAATAAATTTCATATTTTAACTACTCTACTCCATTCGAGTTTTCACATTCGAATCTCATCACTCGTAAAGTTATTCACAATTCTTTAGGTTCTTTAGGTCATTCTCTGATAAAAGCTTAATTGCTTCACTAAAAACTTACAACACCTTTTATTACATTACATGGCGTAACAATATGTGTATAAATTATAATATTGTAACCCAATTATAATAAGTTTGTTTTTTCTACTTTTTAATACTAGTCACATACACACACGCACATCTTTAATTGTTTGAATGAGAGGTTAATGTAAATAATTTAATTTTCTGTTCGTTTATAAATTAATGTTATACGAATTGTGAATTAAAAGTAATTTAAAGATGTCCTTACAACGAATTAATGGAGCATGAAAAAGAATGTTAATCTTTCTAATTCTATTAATTGAATCAATTTCGTTAGTAGAAAGAGAGAGTGAGAGAGAGAGAGAGAGAGAGAGAGAGTTTAAATCAATGTAAATCGACTGTGCAGTCTTATTTAACAATATGCACAATTATTTGTATATATTGTTGACCTAGTTCGCGTTCTTGGCGACACGACGTAACGACGTTTTCTCTAGGAATACTTGATCAAAGTACGATCTTAAATATCCGGCATTAATTCGGTACTACATTTACATATTCGATACATTTATTCTACTTTTTGTTGTTGTTCCTTTCTTTTATTTTTTTTTTATTTGAAAAGAAAGACGACTTTCATGAATCTTAATTTTTATTTTCAACTTTATTGTAAAAAGATGACAAAAACATAGACGGATTTCTTTTTTTTTTTTTTACGTTAATAATACGATAGAAAAAGAAATAGTATATTACATACCTAGGGCGATAAAGTAAGAAATGTCTTAGAGCACATGTAATTGGTTGCCACTTTCCGCCCGGAGGGAAGAAAAATAAATTTATAAGATGGACGATTGTAAGAAAAGAAAAAAAAAATAATGAAAAATACAATAGAAAAAGGAATTATCATTGAATAAGAAATTCTGAAGATTTTCTATTATTCAGTAATAAGTCGTATTGTTTTTGCCAACACGTGACTGGGTTTCAACATATCTTCTATGACTCACTACGTTGTATACGACATACATACGAGCGTAACGTTATGCATGCTCTTCAGGGATGGAATGCAGCCACAACGCGTGGGTTCTACACTGCTAATACAAATGATTCTCTCAGGTCAACACAAAATTCTAATAAAAAATAATCAAACGATTAAACGTTATTAATTTATTTTTAATTGTTTTTTTATTTTTATTTATAAATTAAATGAAATGACATTTTTGGGTCAATAAAAAATTTAAATAAAGTATTATAAAACTATTCTCTCAATTGTTTTTTTTAATAAAATTTTAAATTATATTTTTTGTTTGTTTCAAATTAGGTGAATTATTATTGCGAATAATTCTGTCGAATGAATAAGAAAATTCTAATAGAAATTTATCAAATGATTAGACGTTCTTAAAACAGTTTTTATTATGTTCTTTTTTTAAATTGTAAATTAAATGAAATGAATTGAAATATCGTTTAGACATAAAATAACGATTCCAATAAAATCTAATCTTCAAAACTAAAGCTAATATCATTTTTCTTAATTAAAAAAAATATGATTTTTCTCTCAGAAATAAACTTTTGATTTAGTTGGAAAGATTAAACCTTAGAAACTAGAAAGTAATATATCAATACAAATAATTAATCTTTGATCATTTTCAATAACTTTAAAACTTATTTCTCTTTTTAAATAAAATTAATATTAATAACGAAATTCTGTTCATAATTGTAGTCGAATGAATGATAAAAGTTAAAAATTATTTATTTCTATTATTGGAAATTACTGAAATAGCATCGCTAATAACTACAGTGAACTAAGTAAAAAAATTAAAAAAAAAATTTATAATGTAATTCATTTTATGGTGTAAATAATGTTCATATTTTACAATTTATTTAATACATTTGTGATGCATTTTAAATAATATATTATACTATAAATGATAATAATATAAGCACAATTGTAATATACTAATTATAATTTATGTCATAATTTAATAATATATTCTATACTCTATTGTATAATTAATTGTCACATTAAATATGATTGAATTAATGTACTTACGATGCATTCAAAAAGAAATACAAATAATAACAATATAATAATTACAATTAATATTAATATTAATTATATATTATAATAAATATTATATTAATTATAATTTATATCATAATATAATAATTTATAATATAATAGAAATAATAGAGATTTAAATAAAATAAATCACAAAATCAATATTTTCCATTTATTCGATTTACATTAGTCCTATTGTTCTAATTATCAGCAAACACGTAAGAAACACATATATAGAAAAAAAAATCGTTAAATATCACAACAATTCCTATTCCCCTAGTATACTGCTCATTGTCTTATTCGTGCAACAATAAAATCGCGTGTTCGTACTTTTTTTTGCTTATATGAAGGATGAAACTTTCGTTTCTAGTCGAATTCTTTTCTCTATTCGCGTAGCTTACAAACAAAAGATATTTTGCCACGCTTTTTAACGAAGTACTTCTACTTGACAATGTTCCATTACGGTTTTTGATGTGCAACGACGACGATGCATCAAGAGTCAGCTTCTTTTTCATAAACCCCCTCCTCCCCCCTCCCGAACACCCTCACACACCCTGTCATTCCTCTTCATACTCTGCCACCCACTCCAACTATTACTTTTCTTCTTTTTCTTCCCTTTCCGTCGCGTTTTCCACCACACGTATGTATAAATGTATATATTTACGTGTGTATATGTGTGTCTGTTTTCGAATTCCCTCC